CTCGTCAGTTTTTTGTTGTTGAGAATATTGAACTAGTCTTTCAAACTGTTTATAATGAAATCATTTTTAGATGATTTGGTACTGGATTCCGGTCATATAGAATGTTCCAGTAATTATACACAAGAAAATCCAAACAAGGGTATGCATGATTGTACTGAACGAGACTATACAAACGTCATTCTTCAACATGGAGACAGGTAATATGGTTCATTTATGACAGAAAATCACGAGTATACACGTAATTAGCAAAAAAATAAAAAAAATATATAATTAAATCATTAATTGTTTGGATTGGCGTACAACATGTTCTGCTTTATTTTTCATTAAGATTTGTGGTGACCGCTAGAAGTATTAATGGTGGGAGAATCGATATTAGTAATAAAGATGACATTGACAATATAGTAGTTGATAGGTATTATTATAATGGTAATGGCGTCGACGGAACTGTCGTTTTTGTCGTTGACTTGGATAAGCCATACCATTGCTCAGAAAATTCAAATTGTAATGATAACATGCTAGATGTGGGTGATCCTTATACAACAAATGTAAGTATCGTTTTGGTAGGAGATATTATCAATACCCCTTTCAAATATTAAATCATTGTTCGTTATTGAAAAGAACGTAATGTTAATTTAATTTGTTATACGCATAATTAATTACCGGATTTGAAGATGTTGCGTCTAAAAATACACAATTGTTTTTTTTGGATATTGAAAATAGCATGGCAATTACGACAATGATCACTAAACCATTAAAGGAGATGGAAAACCGACTGGTTCAAAAAGTTCCTACTCGCCAAATAGAAACGTATTGTACACTGTTTACATTTACCAATTCATGGTAAAAGAAATTATGATAAATTATTATATGACACTTCTTATTTGACAATCGCGTGCATTGTTTTACCTAGGAAAACCTCAGTGTAACGTGGTCTGGGTGGATAGACGATGCATCAGGTTTGAACGGCTTTCATTGGCAGATATATCTTCTTGTTGCGACGAACTCTAATGAGCTCAACTACGTTTATCCCGCCTTGGATGAAGGTTACTATGATGCACATTCAGTCGGATGTAATGTGTCATTACCAAATGCAGGTAGATATTTTAGAAACACATGTGCTATTTTCATTTTTTATTGTATGTAATAAATTAAACGCCGATTTCATTTCACGAAAGTATAAAATTTAGTTATTGCATTCGTAAAGTGCTATTCAATATAAAGTAATATATATTTATTTACTTAACAATTCCTAAATCGAAATTACAAGAGGTCAAAAGACCCAACAAAAACATTGCACATATGGTTGTGACAACGTGAACAATGTGTATGGACGTAACGGCATATTGAGCGTGTTATGTTAAGTGTTTCGAGTGTCATCACAAGTGTGTTGAAATGGTTTGCTCAGATTGGTATAAATAAACTTTAAAATTATCTGTGTATATCCAGGAGTATACTGTGTTCTCTTAACGGTCGATGACGTGGCGGGAAGCTATTGCATTGCACGACGATTTATAACATTTGACAATGAAAATGTCGTTAAAATTCACGATAAAGAATCACCTATCGTAGTTGAGTCCGCTATAACAAATCCAAGTAACAATGACATATGGCAAACCGATCTTCAGGATAAACACCACAATGGAAATCAGGTACAATATCAATTGGTTTATTATTTTTCCGTTTTTAGTGTGGGTACTCTATACACGATATAACGAGGAAGCGTATCTCTACACTGAATTACAAAGTAAATAACTCGTTAGTCATAGTTATACATACTGTCAATTCTCCTACTCAAATCGAAACTCATATATGTTATTTTGTAGGTTCATATTGTATGGAATGATCACTTCCGCAATACACATCACGATTTAAACAGTTATTTGGGTTCCATAGCAGCACACGTTCCGGACATTCCCGAACCCTACGAAGAAAAAACTGGACAACCGCCGACGATCAGATCACGTGAAGCCATACCTGGGGTGAATGGCATTGCTAAAACAGAAACAGTTTACGCAGTTGATCATCAAGGAGGGGAGAGTATTATTGAACCTCCAGATTTGTGGTCAGATGTCCCAAATTTTCCAGTACGTACACATGAACCACTCGTCACGTTAAAATTAATGAATCATAAAAGGCAAACTCAAATATCACTTTAATCTGTTGCTGTATTCTCGTTTGTCATGACAGATCGAAGAACAATATTTCGATATTGAAAGGGTAGATGGTGATTCCGTTCGTGTATGGATCCAATCTTATGACATCATTGGTAACTCTGCTGTAGATGAAGTATTAATTCATGTAGATTCCTCTCCGCCTAATATCTTTGATGTAGAACTAACGGAAGATAAAGTACACCAACTTGCAGTGAACGACTCAATAGGCCGATATTATATGCAGTAAGCCTTTCTGATGCTTTTGAAGAAGTGTCATTGCTCGAAATGTGCAGCTATTTTGAAAGTGACAGATAGAACAACAATTACTAATAATGTTACCGTACTCGTAATTCGTCTTTATTATCGGACATATTGTTATCGTGTAGTTGTTAGGTACCAAATTAACTGCTTATGTTCTTTACCATTCAGTGTGACGTTTCGAACATTTGACCAACATAGTGGGCTGTTTGACATTAAATGGGAATTGAGGGATATGGCAGAAATTACAGAGATAATTGCCAGTGGCACAGTGGCTGTACAGAAACAGGTACGCACCGGATATTCTTGCTTACCGTCTAAATTGCAATAAAAAATTAATATATTAAAATTGAGTAGACCAACTAACGTTCTTTAGCAAACTACTAACATGTATGTATCATCGTTTTTACAGGATGGCGAGTGTGAGTCTAAATCTTGTATCTGTATTCCAAAGGGAGAGTGTTACGAGACCCAATATGCCATACATTTAGACGACAAGTTTCTCAATAGTGACTGTGATTACATAATCAGCATTATTGTCAGAAATAATGCATTTTTGGTGTCGAGCGTTAACTTTCAGGTATGTTGTAAGTATGATAAGCATAAGTTTTCTCATCTCAACATTGTTGTCTTGGAAGTAGAATGTCCAAGCAAATAGCCACCGATTCAACTTGTGTGTGATTTATTATGATGTGAAATGTGACATTCAAGGAACATTGTTGGGGTCTGTGGATGAAATTGTGTACTGATAGTATATTAAATAAAAATCGATAAAATTCACTATTACATGTTGGGAATGCACAGTAGATATATTTTTACATATTTACAGGTGACTACCGACACAAGTCCTTCTGAAACAGGTATATTTAGTATTACACATTCAAATACATTTCTGTTGACATGAAGCTTAAATACAAGATGATCATTTTATAATATTGCATATAGATTTGTGTACGAATCTAGTCAATATAGTGTTTGAAAACATTATATTTTCATGATTTTGTGATTTGACTGTATTAATGTATGTTGTGCTTTTTTAGGTGCCACATATTAAAATGTATAAATAGACTTATCATGTGTATATGCTTCCTTCTACAGAACAGTCGTCATCTGCTATCATTGGCATTCTGGTGTTAGTCATTTTGATTCTTCTTTGCATTGTTGTAATAATGTCCATTTACATCGGAAAAAATGCTGCAATAGTCTCCAAGAACAAAATAGCCCCAGTTGAACAGTAACCAGTCAATTATAATGCAAATAATTCTATTCGAATTTTTCGACACATTTTGTTTCATTATTGATTACTAAAACGCATTTTTTATTAGAATTACAGCCGTGTTTGTGTCTTCATGCCAGTATAAAATATGCCCATTAGGATGACAATGTGTCATATTAGTATATTATATGTATCTGAGCACAAGAAATGTTCATATTTGTCTATTGGCTACAACAGGTTAGCAATCAAAGTCGAAGAATGTTATTGATTGCCCTTCTAATAATTCTGTATATACCTATAATAAAATTAAGCGTGGAAATGTTGACAATACAATGTATTTACAAATGTTTAGTACATTGAAAGTAAATTTTATATAAATAAGTAATGCAGTCTATTTTATTATATGCAAATAAAATTAGGGCTAATTCATACGTATTAACACTTTGTTAAATGTATAGTTTGATATAACATTGTACTATATATATATATAATCTGGGAATTGTGTATTTATCACAAATAATTTGTTTATTACAATAACATGACAGTTTCTTTATATATAATATATTTGAAGCAAAATTGTATTAAAATGAGTAATGAGCTATCTTTTATTATATACTAATAAGTTCAATAATTCACTTCATTATATCCAAACAATTTGTACCACAATTGTATTATGTACATATAATAAAGACTTCTGTAATTATTACATATAATTTGCTTATCAATAAATGCATAAAACGGTACCCCATAGACGTGCTAGCGTGTATATCAAGTATTGCGTGATAGTTATTAGAACCTGAACTAGTGACCCTAGAAAACATACTGTGCTAACGCTTACATCGAACGCAATGTTGTGGACGTTAACTAAATGTCAATTGCGAAGACGAGTAATTTACATCATTTACGTTGAACAAGGGCACGGGGAATCAGTCAAATAATGCTCCAATTACAGTCTATTTTCTTTCTGTTTTTACCCGAGAACATGATAATTTTTCCCGTGTTTGGGCCGTTTTATTTGTAGTCGAAATAAACGACAATAATTCACTGTTTTACATGGGAGATGCAGGAGACAATATCAACTCTCAAATTATATGGATGTCATCTACAAACGCCGAGTTCAGTCCGAGTTTATTTTAAATCACTGTTGAAAAAACGGGTGTGAACAGATTAAACAGGTCCGACCTGGTTAGGTCAGCTCAGAATGAAAGGGCTGGTCTCGATCCCTATTTCAGTGTTTAACATGGAGTTTAGGCACGTGTGAACAATGCTATCGACTCATTATACCACAAGATGCAGACAACATGCAAGCACCTCGGAACACGGCAATACTTGGTCAACTGAGAAGACTACCATTTTTATTTCCGTTTCGAGAGCCAGTTATGTTTTACTTCGATTGACGGAACGTCACCAGGCAACAATATTTACGCCACATTGTCGACAATGGCATTTGAGAGGAGGCTCTTTCGCTTAAGGTAGAATGCAGGTTCGTGGGCACTTGGGAGTGATTTTTCTTTTTGATTTTTTATTATTCAAACAGTCTTGGCTATAGACTGTTAAAATTTTGTAGAATTTTGAATAGTGGAACATACTCAAAAAACGATTTTAAGATATAGATAACATGTGTAAACATTCTCTCTTCTGAATGCTTAGCAAGATTTAGCAAGGCTGTACATAAATAATAAAAAAGAAACATGGTGAAAAAAAGAAATGACGGGATCTCCAATTTATGCACAATATTTAACTTTCAACAAAACGATAATACATTTAAATTTGGAACTGTTACAGCCATTTTAATTATCAGCATTAGCAAACTTCTTACTGAGTGAATTGTTATGCAAATTAGCATTTATCTCAGCGTTTTAGTTCACATCCCAGAACTTAAAAAAAAATAGCTCCTCAAGGAGACGCTTTGACCATTTGTTTTGAAATTTTCACAAATGGTTGACAATGTGTTTATCTTCAAAAAAACGCCGTCGGGCATTATTTTTGGTTGAACAGTGTTACAACAATCGTACAGACAACTAACCTGGGTGTTAATTTATGCATAAACTTGAAGTAGTGAAATTTGAGCTGCTGTCCTGCAAAATTTACAACTGGTAGACAGTTTTCAAGACGGCACTTTCTTCATAGTACACAGATGTATCCATAAACCAATTTTGACAGAAAACAGAAGCATGGTTTAGAAGCTAATTTTTTGTAATGACTTTTGACCAAAAAGGCACATTTTTGCGCATATTTCAAATTACAGTGTCCATAAAAAATACAATTTTAAAATTCATACAATAAGCTTTCTGAAAATATATAGGTTTGTGGACAAGGGAGTTCATCTTGGTTTCCTAATTAACTAATTAAAATACCTGTCAGATAAACTGCATCTCTACCTCAATAGTTCAAATTAACTCGATTATATCTCTGAATCCACACAACCACAAAAGTGACAATGGTTGCAACGATTACGTGGAAACTGTTTCGAAACGCAAAAAGGTGAAAAAGAAATAACGGATACAGGAGAATTACTGCGACGTTTTGAACGGAACTTATTGCTTATTGCTTTTTCGAGAATAAAAAAATGAAAATGATTAACATAAGACATAGTGCAGTCACGGTGTTGGTGAGTTGGTGAGTGATCGCGAAAAACAGACCTTGTGTACCTTGGGCCGAAGTTTTTAGGTCCATTAATAGTCATGAGCTGCAATTTGCACATCAGGTGGCCTGTTAGTGGCGCGTGTGTCTGGTTCGCGCACAATCGAACGAACGCTCCGCACCTTCTGGCAAACCGGGCAACGAACCAAGAGCGTCTGGCAAAAGTGTTGGATTCACTGAGTTTTATGTAGTTTATTCTTTCCAAGTCATCTCACTGGTAAGGATTATTTACAAAGCGCTCGAACTTCAATTTCTCGGCATTAGGAGTTTTATAGGGAACTAGTAACTAGAAACATCATTGGGCGCTAGTACACGCATACCGGCGTTAACGCCAATGTTTACGTAATTGTGGGAACCGGCCTATTGTAATTCATCGAGTTATATGCAGTAATCCGGGGAAATCGACTCCGAGTTTATATTAACCGTCTGTTAAAAAACCCGGGTTAGTTTACCTCGAACTTGATACATTTTTGAACGCCATATAGCGGCGCCAAAGTGGTATCGTCTACAAGAAGGTAAACAACGAGCAAACAGTTCGTCAATACAGCAATAATTTGTCAACAAAGAAGACGAAATTATTAATTTCCCCTTGTAAAAAGCAGGACGTCATAAAACAGGATTTTTGTCGTATTGTTGACAATGGCGTGGGAGAAGTTTTTTTTTCGCAGCTGAAACAAAGTCCAGTTCTAACTCAAATTCCTTATACTGATAACGGACACAACGGTGTAGACTGGCCCAGTGGTAGCAATTTCATTGTTTTATGTGATAATTCCTTTAGATCGAGTTTGGTTATTTCGCATCAGACCACGATTTAAGGAATATAACAACGGTGGTCTGTGTAATCGACGTGGACAAATTCTCGAAATGTAAAAGTGAAAAAGAAGTAACAGTGACTGAGTGTAATGATCCGCAATTTATGATTTTACTATTAGTGTCAAAATAACCACAAAGGACGTGAATAGGTATGATCGCCGAGTTAAAAAATAAACCCCTGTGACGTATGAACCGAACGCAGGATTAGGCCACTGAAAAGGAATAGACACAAAGCGCTCGGACCCACAGTTTCTCTACTCATGCGAAGAAGGTTTTAAAGGTAATGTTCACAATACCTTGGACGAACCATATACCTTAAAAATACATGTACTTTTAAGGTATATGGAATAACAAAATCATTTAAAACTAGCATTGATTAGTGCCAACTTCCTAAATCCTCGCCCTCTGACTTTCCAAGGTGATATGTTCACATGTAACAGTAGAAATGAACACATAAAAACAGTGACAAATTTTGAAATGCTTAGTCTCTCTGCCTGCTCTTGGGTATGGGAGAAAGTATCAAAAAACAATCATTACTCAAAATAAACACTAAAAAGAATAAATATTTTTATTGAAAAAACGGGTAGACGCGATTTCCAGTCTATCCCTGCCCGCGCGTATACTAATACTGGTAGTTGTCCTTACTGTTTGAGATACTGCCCTCAACGGTATGTGTTATGAAACACAGGGGTAAGACCGGAGAAACATTGCACCTGTCTCTCACCGGGCGACCGAGGCAGAATTACATTAGCCTTAGTCCCTCGGTGTTGTATTAGCAAAAGGGCGAGACACTAGAGCTGAGTCTAGGCAAAGAATGGATGGAAAATGGATAAGCCACTTATCATATGCGGTTGACATGATTATGAAGTCATCCGAGATTTACTAGAACCGTGATAGCTGGATGTGCTATAACCATGAACATACAAACACTATGACCAAGTGTCCTTTGTCTATCGACGCAAGCTGCTCACCGGGCGACTAATAAGGCAGAGTTACAGTAGCAAAGCGGTGAGAAACTGGAGCTGAGTCTAGCATAGATGGCAAGGTTTAGCCACTTTTCATATTTGTCTGGCATGATTATGAAGTCATCCAAAATATACTAAAATCGTGATAGGGGAATATGCTATGAACCTACTTGCAATCAAACTTGCTCATCTCTCATTTGTCTTCCTTAAGTATTTAAAGCGGCCAGAGCGTTACTGCTTCTACTCGCAAATTTATATAACGGAGCGAAAACTATCACATATCACCTATCACACCCGATCGAAAACTGTTAATACGCAGCGAACAATATTTTTCTCTGATCCCGGCTCCTATATACGACGGTTCAAGGCTCGCGATAGTTGGTGCGCGAAGTGCGGAAAATTAAAGTAAGTGGCAAGTGCCAGAATGAAATGCACATGCTCTAACCGTGTGGTTATTTTCGGATTGTACATTCCAGGGTGCATTCGGTATTTGGCGAATA